TTCAAGTTTTGTGCAAAAACGCATGATCGCTCCGGCTCGCCTGGTGCGTTCCAGCCTAGGTTATGTAATAGTTTCCATTAGCAAAACCTTAGTTTCTTTTGCTTTTATTCATAAAGTTAGATTTGCTTTAATTTACTTTTATTTGTGTGCACAGTGTTGTCTTTTTCTCTTTGCTGCTATCTCCAGTTCTTGCCTCGAGTTCTTGACTCGCATCCTCGTCCCTCTTCTCTGCTCTGTCCCAGATCTTGCTAGCGAACAAGATATAGACCCCTCTCCATCCCTACTAGAATATCACTGTTCAAACAAATAGTATTTACCTTTCTCTACCCAAGGTAACTACGGTAAAAACCAGGAGCACACTTCCTCATCCTTTCCGTTCTTCACCGCTCCCCTCTCTCCTTCAAATAAATGTACGTTACTTAGTCAATCGACAAAGAATCTACGCCAATTAGTCCTTACATCCACCTATTCTAGTCCCCTCCCCTTGCCTCGAACGAAACCCGCCACATACCATCCCCACCTCCACCTGCTTTACTCAAACTTCCGCCATCGGGCAGCCCTACCAGCCGTCGGGAGAAAAAATTTTTTGCAGCTCGTGCATGAGATGAGCCGAACCGAGAAATGTCGAATTCTTGTAACTGCCAATTTTGGCAACTCGGATCCGAGCCCAAATATTTGTGAGTGCCGGTACAATTTGCGAAAGCCTGGGTCTGGTCATTCTTGTCAATGTGCACTTTGGCTCTGTTTCTCTGCGTCTCTCTTCCCTACATGATATTTCTCCGGCTACCACAATATTTCCTGCTTGTCAAAAACCGCTGAAGTGTGGCCGGATAGTGTCCGCTCTCGATGGTCAATTCATGAAACGCTTGTTCGTGAAGTATTTTTATGCGTTCAGCTGCTTTCTTTGGTGGAGGTGGTGTTTTTACGTTTGTTTCACGTGTGTGGGCAGGGCGGGGTCACGTGTTTCGATGTGCAGGGTCACGTGGCTTGTCTCCGTCTCTGCCTATGAGAGATCATCGTTGGGATCTTCATGGTTTTTTATGCGTTTTGTGCTGTGTAACAGCGTTACAAAATGCGTATTGTCACGGGGTTGTCTGTGTGCGTGTGTCCGCAGCGACCTGTCCGCAATTTTCAACTCGAGGACCACAAAAGCTAGGAAACCGAAAATTTGGGGGAACGTTCCTCACCCACGTGTGACCCCGCAAATTTAAATTCAGCTTCCCCGTACACGCGGGTAACACGTACGGCCCCGTAAAAATTTTTTACGGGTAAGCTAATATCTCGGGAACCACGGAGTTTAGGAGGCTGAAATTTTAGGGTAATGACCCCCCGCCCACGCTCAACCTTGCCCATTCAAATTTGGCGTTTTCGCCTTCTCGGGTACCACTTGCGGGCTAGTGAAAATTTTGACGGTAAACTGTTAACTCGGGAATCACGGAAAGATATTCACCTTTCAAGGTTTCGAATTCAGCTTTC